AAAAAAAAAAAAAATTTGGAAAAACAACATTTTTGGATATTACCAGAAGACCCAATGGCTCACACGTGTAATTCTAGTGCTTTGGGAGGCTAAGAGTAGGGCACCAGCCCCATGTACCGGATGTGGCAGGTTCAAACCCAGCCCCGTCCAAAAAAAAAAAAAAAAAAAAAAAAAAAGAAAAAGAACAACAAAGTTGGAAGACACATATTTCCTGATTTGAAGACTTGCTACAAAGCTACAATAATTAACAGTCTAGTACTCACACAAAAACAGACAAGACATAAAGACCTACAGAATAGAATAGAGCCCTCAGAAATAAACCCTTGCTCATACGGTTAAAGGATTTTTGACAAGGGTGCCAAGACCAAGCAATGGGGAAAGGATAGTCTTTTCAACAAATGGTGTAAGGGAAATTTGGTACCTAATGTTACAGAAAGAAATTGTACCCTTACACAACACTGCATGCAAAAATTAACTCAAAGTGGTTTAAAGACCTAAATGTAAGAGCTAATCCATTTCTTAGATATGACACGAAAAGCACAGGTAACAAAAAACCAAACAACCAAACAAATTGGACTTCACAATTTAAAACTTTGTATATGGATACTACTCAGAGTAAAATGAAAACTCATATAATCGGAGAAAATATTAATATCCACAATACACAGAAAACTAAAATTCAACTAGAAAACAACAACAACAACAAATGGGCAAAGGACTTGAAAAGACATTTCTAAAAAGAAGCTATACAAATGGACAAGAAACACATGGTAAAAGACACTCAATGTTACAAATCATTAGAAAAATACAAATAAAAACTACAATGAGATGGCACTTCATACCTATTAGGATGACTATTATATAACAAACAAAAAAACTCCCAAAATGATAGATGAAGACTTTAGGATGTGGAGAAATTGGAATCCTTTTACACTGCTGGTAGAAATATAAAATGGTGGTGCCACTGTAGAAAATAGTATGGTGATTCTTCAAAAAATTAAATATGGAATTACCATTTAATCCAGCAATTCCACTTCTCAGTATATAAGCAAAAGTGAAAGCAGTCAAAAGTGGAAACAATACAAATACCTATGGATAAATAAAACGTGTGTGTATATATATACACACATACATACACACATAATGGAAATGTTACTCAGTTTAAAAAAGGAACGAAACTCTGATACATGCTACATGAATAAACCTTGTAGACATGATGCTTAGTGAAATCAGACACAAAAGGATAAACATTGTATGATTCCACTAATATGAGGCACTTAAATGAGACAAATCCATAGAGATAGAAAGCAGACAGTGGTTACCAGGTCTGGCTAGAGGTAGATGGAATAAGAAGTTACTGTTCAAGGGGTATAAAGCTTCAGTTTGGGATGATAAAAATGTCCTAGAGATGGATGGTGGTAATGGTTGTACAACAATGTAAATGTATTTAATGTCAAAAATGATTAACATAGGAAATTTTATGCTATATATATTTTACCACAATTAAAAATCCAAATAAGGCCACTCTGCCTACTTGCCCTGGCAATGGAGGCCCGTTTGCTGTCTATGGTGAAAAGTATCCTGCTTTGCAAGCTTTCTTACTCTATAAGCCTATCTTTCTCTTCTCAATAAACTGTTTCATGCTTGCAAAAAAAAAAATAAAAGAAGATGAAGACAAAAAACAGACAACAAAACCAAAACATTAAACAATAAAAAGTTACTTTTCAAAAATGAGGGAAGAGAAGCAATGAGACCTTTTAAAGTTAAAAAGTAATGGAAATAAAAGAAAATAGAAATTAGAAGTGAAGTATTAGTTCATAAGCAGAACTACACTAATAATTTCTAAATAGTTTCATTAGTGCTATGAATAGATGATAACGAATATGAAAAGTCTCTAGGATAAAATATCCAAGAGGGAGACAGAAATATAAAATATTTAGTGAACAGGCTTATTGGCAAGCCAAATCAAGAAATAGTAAGGCTTCCACTTCTTGCAAATTCAGGTCTTTATATCAAAATCTGAGAAACTGATTTTACTTTTAATCTACAATGTTTAGAAAACTTACAGGGCAGATTTTCCTGTGCGGGGATCTATATAGGTGGTGGTTCTTCTATTGTGGTCCACAAAATATGGAATTCCATCCACTGTGAATCTCATTTCCCAGCCTTCAGGTAAAGGTTTTTCATTTAATTGACTACAAAACATAGAAAAAAATATTAACAAAAATTATTAAAGAGTTGCTTATTTGCCAAGTATAGAAATTAAAATATCCATAAAGGTAGCAGAAATCTTTTAGCAAACCATTTAATCCAATCTTTTCAAGCTGTTAGATATCCACCATCCCACAAACACATAAAACTCAAGACGTCCATCAATCACCACTCAGTCTTCTGTCTAGTTGGCCTATGCTCTCCATTTGCCTAATAACCCACCTTAAACATGTCATGGTAACCAAGCTCTGCCCATTCTGCTTTAAAAGTCTTCATATTCATTCCTATTTTTAATCCCCAAGACCATTCCTTCTCTGGCTTTATTACTCTTTCTTCTCCACTTTTTCCACAATCTCCTACCTAGTTTTTCTGCCTGTAGTCACACTCTGGCCCTACTCTTATACATATACTGATATTGGTAACCAAGTGTTTTCCTAAAATAGAGATCTCATCAAATTATTCTCTCTTTAAAAGGCTATCATGGCTCGGCGCCTGTGGCTCAAGCGGCTAAGGCGCCAGCCACATATACCTAAGGTGGCGGGTTCGAATCCCCAGCCCAGGCCTGCCAAACAACAATGATGGCTGCAACCAAAAAATGGCTGGGCGTTGTGGCGGGCACCTGTGGTCCCAGCTGCTTGGGAGGCTGAGGCAGGAGACTC